AGCTCAGAGAGAGGAAGGTCAGTGGGGCTCACTCCTCCCTCTAGGGACCAGAGCTCCTTCAGTTGGAGAGGAACACTCCATGCCCTCACAGTTTTAGGGGTCTTAAGTCTTCATGGGCTGGAGTGTGATAGCATGGAGAAAAAACAGGGTGTCTTGGGGTTCCCTTCCTCACACCTTGTGCAAGAGCTGAGGAGCCTGCTTCTGGATTTGGGGCTACCCTGTGTGCAGGCCAGGGGAGAAAGGCAGATTCCTTTCTCTTTTATTGGGACTTGGAACTCTGTTTTTTCCCACAATCCACCTACTACCGCTTACTTTGAGAGCCCTCAAATAGTTACTCTGTGGCCTTGTAGCTGCATTTGGTGAGCAAGACAGGGTGGAGGGTGCGTGTGTGGAAGGGGAGCTGCCCGTAGACGCTTTTGTGAAAATACAAGTTTAATTTTTGTAACTATGCAGATGAACCCAAACCTTGGCATTTCTAGTGTGGGACAAATCCTAAGTCTCCTTACAGTGGTATTTGTAACTCGTTCAGGTGAATTTTGAAGGGAGACCACTGTGTAGCCGCGGACCTCATGGTGTGGGCTCAGCTCTGGCGTCAGAGTGACCGTGGAGGGCTCCCACATGCCTCTTCCCCAAGTGCAACCATCGATAGATGGTCTCAAACAGACACATACACTTCCCCCAACATCTGCATATAGACATGTCCACACACACAGACATACACACACACAGACATGCATACACACTTACACACACGTGTACATGCACATTTAAACACACATTTATGCTCATAAACACATACGTATGTATACACACATGCACAGACACACAAATACACACAGACATACTCACAAACATATATACCACAAACATGCTCCCATACATGCACTTTTACATATACACACGCACACACATTTAAACATACATACACTCTCACAACACACACTCAGAAACACACACATACACATGGACATGCACACGCACATACAGACGTACACACACCCGACATATGCATATAGACATACCCACACACACAGACATACATGTACACGGACACACATGCACAGTGTGCTCAGGAGTGATTTGGGAACATTTGCACAAAGTGCACAATTCCCCTCAAGATTAGTCTGAATTCTTCTGTGAAGTGAACATTGAAACAGTAGCGACCTGGGGCAGCCATGCCCTGGAGATGCGACTGAGTCTGGGGCCGTGAAATGAGCAGCAGGTGCTGCATGGTACCATCTGGCCATGGCCGCGGGCGACAGCTGGCTGTGGTTGGGTGTTGTCTGCTTCACGTGGTGGATTTGTGAGGGCTCGTCAGTTCGCAGAGTGCCAGGCAGTAGCCTCACCAGAGAAGAGATGAAAATGAGAAGTTGTGGTTTCAGAAGCAAGAGTGTCATTGCTGGGAGAGCAGGGCAGGCAAGCAGGTGGGTGTCAAATCCACGAGGGGCACGTGGATTCTCACCAAGGCTCTTGCATTGCCAGGACCTCCTGACCCCTGAGGACATCTCACGGCAGAGGTCTTCCTCTGGACGCCCCACCTGCAGTGTCCGCTGAGGGGAGTGGGCTCCTGATTCTGGCACAGAAGCTCAGAAGGGACTCGTTTAGATTTGGGTTTTGGAACGGCCACTCTGGCTGCACTGGGGAGAACGGATTTGGACACAGGGAAACCAGGCAGGAGCCCCTGCCCTGGGATAGGAGATGCCTAGGCCCAAATAGAGGCCACAGTCAAGGGGATGGAGAGGGAATGGGGGCGGAGTGGATAGAGTGGTGGTCAGGTAGATGTGGGGAAGAAGCATGTGGGAACCCTCCACTATCTGGGATGTGGCAGGTAGACAGGGGCAGGTGTCTTGGGAGGAGTGGGTGATTGCCAGCGTGGGTGCCTGGAGTGTCCAGGGGGTGGTCAACTGTCTGGGCGTGGACTTTGGTCAGTGCTGGGCTGGAGAGAAGACTTGGGAGTTGCTGGCCCATTGGTGGTGGGAGAGGCTGGGCATGTGTCAGGGAACCTGGGGGAAAAGTCAGTCTGGAAAGAGAGGGTGATGGCAGGACCTATGCTGGGAGTGTTGAGGGAGCTGGGACCATGAAGGGAGAGGCTCAGGGGCAGTGGGAGAACCCAGAGAGAGCCCTGCCGTGGAACCAGGAGAAGACTTTCCTGCAAAGGGTGCAGTGAGGGCGCTAATGCCACAGAGAAATCAGAGAGGCAGGGGAGGAGCTGAAGGATGGGCCTGTGGGCTTTGGTGAGGTGAACCTGGGCTGAGGAAGTGGACCCAGCAATGTCTGCGGCTGTTTTCCAAAGCCCAGCTTTGAGGGGTTGGTGAGACAGCAGAGGGGAAGACCCACTGAGGCAGAGGCCAACCGTGGGCCCAGAAGGCCCATGAACCACTGTGTGGATTGTTGGATCCTCATCACTGCCTGCTGTCCAGGCGCTTGCCCCTGCGTGGTACCAGGTTATTGAGGATGAGCAAGCAAGACAGCCAGCTTGACACTTTATCTTTTCCTCCATGAAAAATATGTTTAAGGCATAAAAATAGAACCATTTGCATTTTGGACACAGATGCATTTTTATAAAAAAAAAAAAAAGATAAAAAATCCAATTCAGGGGGAGTTCAGAGCTTCTGCTGGCTTCCCTGGGAAAGCAGAGAGGCGTTTGCAGAGCACAAAGTCCCTAATAGATGAAATTGAATAATCTCATCTGGAGAAGTAGAGTTGAAAACACCCATCTGGATTTCTGGTTCCAGCGGTACTGCAGACTGCTGTAGTGTGAAACTCTCCCACCGTGGACATCTGAAAATGTGGGGCAGAATGGAGCAAAGTCAGGTTAGGTTACTATCTGAACTTGCAAGGGAAATTTCCAGGTCCTGGAAGTGAAGAGGGAAGGGAACTCTAAAGCAGTGAGTGATGGGTTGGTGCACAGTGGGGTTTGGTTCCAGACCAGGGCCTGACTCACACCACCAGCTTGCACATAGGCAGTGGGTGCTTAGGTGAGAGAGGTGAGGAGGTGGGACAAAGACCATACAAAGAGGGGTGCTAGTAGAAACACATCGTTAAGGAAAAGATGGACCAGAAGAGTGATCTGCCCACAGCCCAGGGAGGTGACAGGGCACTAGGCTGTCTGCCTTGGCTCGGGTGGGAAAGTTCCCCCAGGAAATGGAAACCTGTTTGTTACTTGGGATTGGGGTTTTAATTTATATAACTGAAGACCCCAGACTGAGAAGTTAACTTAAAGATGGAGCTCCAGGGGGCCGGCCTGTGGCCTAGTGGTTAAGTTCAGCATGCTCTACCTCAGAGGCCTGGGCTTAGCTTCCAGGCATGGACCTACATCACTCAGTGGCAGCCATGCTGAGGCAGCAACCCACATACAAAATAGGGGAAGACTGGCACAGATGTTAGCTCAGGGCCACTCTTCCTCAGCAAGAAACCAACCAAACAAAAAACCCTGAAAAACATGGGGCTCCAGGCCAGAGATCCTGGAGTCCCTGGCAGGAGTAAATGTGAAATACTCAGGAGGGCTACCACCCCTGAGGCCACACTTAATTACTGTCAAGTAAAGAAGGCCCGCTAATGATTGGTTCACAATAAAAGTGTATCTAAGCATCAGAGAAACAACCCAGTGTAAACAAGAGTTGTAAGTTACAAAGAAGATCAGGATTAGACCACCCAGGGACTTCAGATGATAGAAGAACAATCTGGAAGAGTATCTAAAATAAGCATATTTACAATATTAAAGAGATATATGGGATACTTGGAAACATAAGAAAAAGCAAAATACCATGGAAAAAAATGGGCAGATTCAAAGAACCAAAAGCCCTAGAATAAGAGACACAACATTCGTAGTGAACAATTTGGTAGAGGGATAAACAGCAAATTAGACGTAGCTGAAGAGAGAATTTCTGAATTGGAAGATAGATCTGCAGAAATTACTCAGCATGAATCACAAGGAGATAAAAAATAAGAGATATTGATGGATATGGAGAAGAGAAGCAGGAGGCCATACATATGTCTAAAACAATTTCTGGGAGAGGCTAGAATGATGAATATGAAATAATGAAAAAACTCATGTAGAGAATTTTTAGAGTGGTAAAACGTGATTCCAAAACTTCAAATCCCACGAAGAATATGGGAAATGCTAAGAAAATAAATTCACAGCTAGACACACCGTAGTGAACCACAGAAGGCCAGAACCCAAGAGGAGATCTTAAAAACAACCTGAGACCAGAAAAAGATTTATGGAGCGACAGTTATCCTTCCTGTAGATTTGTGGACAGCAGTGAAGAGCACAGGAAAGATGACATAATCTCCAAAGTAGCGAGGGACAGTGACCGTCAACCTAGATTCTATATCCAGCTAAACCACCATTCAAAAGTCAGGGAGAAGTAAAGACATTTTCAGAGAATGGATGGAGAGAATTTACTGTTCACAAAACCTTCTGAAAGAATTACCAATGGGTGTATTTCATAAAGAAGAAAATCTAGTCAAGGGTAACAGAATGGGTCATGGAATAATATGCTGTGAAGCTAAGGAAGTAAGTTAATAAAAAAACAACCCTGATCTCAAGGCCAGGGATTTGGTTACATGGATGGTGACTGGCGCACTAGGAGTTGTAGACTGCATGAGCAGCCCTAAGTATCACTGTTCTTGTGACTCAGGGATATCGCCCATTCTTGGTGACTCTGCATAAGGATATCTCCTTGACAATACCTATGCTTTGAAGTGCTGGCTTCAAACTGTGCCTCCATTTTTTAAGATAATTATGAAATCACTGCTGCTAAACAGATGCCAGAGCCTGAATTGTAACATAGACAGACCTGAGAATTACTGAAGGGGCAGGATGCAGATTCTGAGAACCGACCTGCTCCCTGCTTTGTGCATCTGAGCAGTATGAGTTCTCTGTGTTGAGAAAGACAGGGCGGGGCAGGCATTATGGTGTCGTGATTCAAGGGTGGACTCTCATTCAGAACTAGAAATTTGATTGTCTCTGACCCCGTGTCCCTCTCTGTCCCCAGAGCCCACGGTGGTGTTTGCCAAGGAGCAGCCGACCCACAGGGAGGTGCAGGCCGAAGCGGGGGCCAGCGCCACACTGAGCTGCGAGGTGGCCCAGGCCCAGACGGAGGTGACGTGGTTCAAGGACGGGAAGAAGCTGAGTGCGAGCAAGAAAGTGCACGTGGAGGCCAAGGGCTGCACCCGGCGGCTGGTGGTGCAGGAGGCGGGGAAGGCGGACGCCGGGGAGTACAGCTGTGAGGCCGGGGGCCAGAAGGTCTCCTTCCGCCTGGGCGTCACAGGTCAGTTCTTGAGGAAGGGGGGGGAACTCGCCTTGTGTGGAGGTGATGAAGGACTGGCTTACAGCCCGGACCACTGTGGTCCTCTGTCCATTAAACCTCATCTCATCACGTATCCCAGTCCCCCTCCCATTTTCACACTCATGGCTGAGCCCAGGGATCTTGGATGGCAGGGGTGTGTACAGCAGGGAGAGGCCCTTCTTCTCCATCTTAATGGTGTTTGCACATTGCAATTCCACATCTCTCACTTTTCCCAGAACCTCCTCAGGACCCACTGTTGGTCCTTGGTATCCAGGACTCTGGCTGTGTCTAGTGCATTGGGCTGAGGTAGAGCAGATGTCCCTCACCTGAGGACGTTCTCCTGGTTCCCATTTGCCTTCACCTGCCCCAGATGAGGGATCTTGCTATCAAGAGATGTCTGCATTTCATTCAGCCAGGATAATAGCAAATTTCAGCCACCAGTCATACTGGGATTTATCTCAAGACTGAACTTGGGTTCCCAAAGTTCTGGGGGTTCTGGAGCACTCTCCCTCCTCGCACGTGGCTGGAGAAGCTCTTTCTGCACCATATGGGCCAGAAGACAGACACGTGTTTCACGGCAGTGTCTGTGCAAAACCAGTGGAGAGCAGAGAATCGGGAGCTGAGCATCCGTGATGCACACGTGGGAGACTGGAGTTTCGTTTCAGAGCAAATCTTGTTTTCCTTTGTCTTCAGTTAGAAAATCCCAAGTCAGAGTTCCTCTTGAGGTTTGATGTGTAAACTTAGAAGTGGGGAGAAATAGGCAGCTGTGGCACATGGGCACTCTGTTTCTGAGGACTTCCTGAGGTGACAGCCCCCGCCTGGTAGAGCCGTGTTAATTTCATAGCGTTTCCTAATGGTGAGGGTGGGTTTGTGCCCTCCTGGCTGGTTCACAGAGAAGTCTGTGAACTTGCTGTTTTCCCCTTTCTTAGGAGGGTTTAACTCACATGAGGGTCAGCTGAGGTCTCACATGGACTCCTGGGTGCCACCTGTAACTGTTTGTTGTTGTGTCAGTGTGTAATGTTGTAGGTGTGCATGGATACCAAGAATCCTGCTGTGTATGTTTGACATGCTATTGAGGAGAATCTGACAGTATTCTGTGCAAGAAAATAGGAAAAGTTTGAGACATTGTCCTATTTCTAGAAAACTAAATAAAAACTGACCTAAGAAGAAACAGACAGCTCAAACAGTCCTGTTGGAGAAATAGAACCAGTGGGAAAGATTCTTCTCATAGAACAAATTCTAAGCCCAGCACTTTACTGGTAGAGTCTTCCAATAACTTAGAAATTAATTATCCCTTGTCCATGGAGAATCTTCTAGAGAATAGAAAAGGGAGATCAACTTTTTAACTCGTTTTATACAGTAGCGTAACTTTGATATTGAAATATGACAGGCCAGTAGGAAGAATTCATATTATAAGCAAATCCATTATGGATTTCAAGGCCAATATGGTAAAAAAAAAAACAATCAGCAAACTAAATTCAGCAGTATATGAAAAGAATCCTACAGCCTGATAAAATTCAGAATGTACCAGGAATCAAGGCTGGTTCAACATTAGAAACATTAGCAAATCAACGTAAAGCTCGACATTAACAGATTGAAGAAAATCAGTCTAATTACCTCAATACATGCAGAATCAAGTCTTTGATACAATTTTACGTCATAAATCCAGAAGAAATGTCAGATAAAATCTAGCATCAATTCATGCCTTAAAATGCTAACAAAGTATAAGTAAAAGAATTCTTCCTGAATTTGATAAATGGATTGCAGAAAAGTTGTGCTCACTTCACAAAGTGAAATGGTGAAGGATTTGCCTTGAGCTGGGGAACAGGACAGGAAAGCCATGTCACCACTTCTGCCCCACACTGCACAGCACAAATAACGAGGAGGAAAGTAAATAAAATAAAATAAAAAGTGCAAGCTTTTGAAAAAACAGAAGTAGAATTCACAGCAGATGTGATTTATCCAAAAGAGAAATTGTTAGATTTAGTGAGAGTGTTGAAAGAGATTGCCACATTCAAAATCGACATAGAGAAATATATATATATTCTCTCTATATACTAGCAACAAATGATTGGAAAATGAAAGTTTAAAAGATTTGCAATAACATCAGAGGTATCATGGTTTTCATTCCAAGTCTAATAAGAGATGTTTAGATGCTGTGTGGGAGGGGATGGTTAGCTATTTTCAAGAGACAGTAAAGAATAGTGAAATAGATGGATAGACATCCATGGGGGAAACTAAGATGTTCACTAACAATCCAATCCGAACAAGTGCTTATTTGGCAGGATGGGATGGGGTGGGGTGGGGTTGATAATTGACTAGTGGACTGCAAAGGCCGTGTGCAGACAGACAGTGTGCCCTTGAAGAGAGCCAGTGTGGGCATTGGGGTCGCAGATCTGCAGACTTCCACAGCTGCATTCACGAAGACGGCAGGGTCTCGATGCAGGAACAGTTGTCAGGTAAGGGGCTGGAACAGGGGCCCAGAGGCAGACTCCTGGGTGAATGGACCTGCCGCTGGTTCCCTGCCCTCCTTTGTTTCTACTGTGGCTCCTGTGCAAGGTGTGAAGAAAGGAAAGTCTTTTCATAAACATTTGGACATTTCATAAATTTGGACATTTAGCCATATGCCTAGATGTTGTCTCTGACCCCGTGTCCCTCTCTGTCCCCAGAGCCCACGGTGGTGTTTGCCAAGGAGCAGCCGGCCCACAGGGAGGTGCAGGCCGAGGCGGGGGCCAGCGCCACACTGAGCTGTGAGGTGGCCCAGGCCCAGACGGAGGTGACGTGGTTCAAGGACGGGAAGAAGCTGAGTGCGAGCTCGAAAGTGCACGTGGAGGCCAAGGGCTGCACCCGGCGGCTGGTGGTGCAGGAGGCGGGGAAGGCGGACGCCGGGGAGTACAGCTGTGAGGCCGGGGGCCAGAAGGTCTCCTTCCGCCTGGATGTCACAGGTGGGTCCCTGGAGGTCTTTCTTTGGTTCCTTAGGTTAATTATTAGGGAGTAGGGGTGTGTGGAGGTGCCACCTGATGTCCTGTGTTCTCACAAAGCTTCCCATGTAGCAGCTAGCAGGTGTCAGTTACATGCTGAGGGCTGCATTTCATGCAGTGCTTCTTCTCTTTTCACTCGTGTGAACTTCACAACAACCTCAGGAGGAGCTGTTCTGGTCATTCCCCTTTTACGGTGAGACTCAGGAAGTTTCTGTAACTTGGCCAGCTGCACACAGCCAGAAACCACCGCCAGGATTTGGGTCCAATATTCTGGGATTATTTATGTTTTTCTGCTTGAGGAAATCTGTCATCGGTATTTATTTTAGCAGTTCTGCTGATGCTCTGCTTTTTTTGCTTGTTTAAAAACATGTCTATTTTGCCTTAAATTTTGAGGGTTGTTTTCTCTGAGTATCAAATTACAGTTTAGAAGCTCTCATATATATTATCTCATTTTAAAGAATCAATTCCATTGTCTTCATATTCTGTATTTTCTTTTGAAACATCAATGATCAGATCTCTTATTCCTTCAAGAGTCATCTTTTGGGTTTATTTATCCTGTTGCTTTTGGCATAATTGTTTTGGGTTTGATTTTCATCAGCTTTACTTTATGAACCTAGGTGTGGTTTTCTTTGTATTCTACTGGTCGGGGTTGCACAGAATGTTGAGTCTGTGGGTTTCTGTCTTTACCAACCATAGAATATGTTTCCCCACCTGCCTCATATGCATCTCTTTTTCTCTGCCTCTTAATTCTTTTTCTCTCTCTGCTTTAGTCTGGATATTTTCTTTTGACCTGTCTTCCAATTCACTTATCTTCTGTTCTGTTATGTCTAATGTGCTGTCAAACTCATCTATCCTGTGTTTACTTCCAGTTATTGTAGTTTCAAGTTATATAATTTTAATTTGATTAATTTCTTATAGATTCTAGACTGTGGTAAATTTTTCATATTTGATGTATTTTCTTTCTTATTTTAAAAAAATATTAATCATAGTCTGATAACCAGAATAATTGGATCATCTAGTATCAACCATAATAACTGATATTGCCTTTTTTTGTTTTGGGGTTTTTGTTTGTTTGTTTTCTATTTACTCCTCTCCTTGGCATGCCAGGGAAGTTTTGATTGACTGTTAGACATTGTGTGGGAACACGTTGAATGTGGCTGATGTTATCTTACTTCAGAAAGAGGATCAGTCTTTCTTTTGCTAGGCAGGGAGACGATGACTAAGAACCTCAGTCCATTCCAGGGCCCTGCTGACTTGAGGCTGCATTGCAATTTTGATCAGGGTCGTCTATCCCTGTTTTGCCTCCATTCCTGGCCAAAGTCATCCAGGGATTCCTGCAAAGACTTGGGGTGTGGATGGGTCCTCCGCCGGCAGACGTGCAGCTCTAGGTTTTGTCTCTCTGGTAATGCAAGATGGTGGAAAGTCTGCTCTAGTTTTCAGAGGTTTTCTTCTTGGCTTCTTAGTCCCCTGCCCCACGCAGCTTTGGAACTCATCAGACGTCTTGAGGGGAATGTGGTTGAGTGGGGCCTGAATTCTACATGGTTCCTTTTGACTAGAGACTTGGCTCTTCAATGTCCAGTTTCATCTGTCCACAGGTGTCCACAGCATTACTAGTTTTCCTATTTCTTGGTGGCAGCCCTGTGCCCAGGTTTTCATTGCCATGCTACCCCCAGAAGCAGCAGTGCCCTGAGGGGGAGCCGGTGCCCCGTGTGACCCCACGTCTCTGAGCAGTTCCCGTTTACCTTCCTTGCTCACTTTACACCCATCCCTGCTGGAGAGCCCTGGCCCCAGCTCTCATCTCCATTAGAATGTCTCCCCTTGGCTTTCTTCAAAGCTGCCTCCCTTTGTCATTTAGCACTCTGCCTAAACATCGATCCTTAGTGAGGGCTGCTCTGACCACTGAGTCTAAGTTGCCAAACAGCCCCTTTCCTCTAGCTTGTCACCTATTTCATTTCATCGCAGCACCCACCATAGCGTTACAGCACTGTTGTCGTGGTGTATGTGTTCATCTGTCTGTCGCTCCCCATTAGAAGGTAAGGTCTGTGAGAACAGAGACAGTGCAGCTCACTGTTGCATTCCCAGCTTACCGCCATAGTGCTAGCATGAATTGGGCCCTCCTTTGGCATTGGTGTGTCAATGATTGAATGAATGAATGAGTGAATGAGTGAATTAAGGCCTCTACAGCATGGAACCTCTGAGATCCTGTATGTATTTGTTTGAGTTTAATGGAACACATACGATTATTACAAATGGATGTTGGTGAGGATGGGAAACTGGAGCTCCCACACGCTGCTGCTGGGAGAGTGAGTTGGTGCAACCATTTTGCAAAACTCTTTGGAAATATCTGCTAAAGCCAAATGTGGGCCTACTGCATGCCAACAGCTCCACATGCTCCAAAGATATGTACAAGAATGTTCACAGAAGCTCCGCTTGTCGTCTCCCCAAGTTAGAAACAACCTAAGTGAATCACGAGAGGAAAAGGGAAAGTGAACCGTGGTGTTCACACAATGGGATCCTGTCTGTCAAGATGCAGAGCAAGCTGCTGCCAGATGCGGCCACATGGGTGGGTCTCACAGATGCTGTGCTGAGTGAAGGGAAACAGACTCAGGAGCACGTGGTGTGTGATTCCACCTGTGTGAAATCAAAGAACAGGCAAAAGTGACTGATGGCGATAGAGGTCAGAAGAGTGGTTATTTTGGGGGTGGTCAGCAGTGCGTGAGGAGCTGGAAATGCTCTGTTTGTTGATGTTGTGGTTGCATGGGAGCAGGTCCACCTCACTGAACTGTCCAAATAAGTGAGTGCACTTTCCATGCGAGTTACACCCAGAAAAATGGAGACTAATTTGTGGAGTGCATACTGTGTGCCAGGCTCTGGGCATATAAGAGTGAACAACCCAAGCTGTCCACAGAGGTGACTGTCACATGGGAAGGACAGTGAACTGGCAATGACAAGTGCTGGTGTACCTGTGGCCACCTTCCTCCCGCCTTAGGAATTGCGCTGGAGTCAGGACATGCCTCAGGTGTACACTGAGTCCCTGTCACAGGAGACAGGGTGTTGTGAACACAACTCTCACACCCCACCAGCCACATCGTGTCACTGGCTCCAGGAGAAGATTCACTGAACTCTGAAGCTTCACTCCCTGTGACCTAGACTGGTACCAGTTTTGTGTCTCATACCCCGTGTCCTTCTCTGTCCCCAGAGCCCACGGTGGTGTTTGCCAAGGAGCAGCCGGCCCACAGGGATGTGCAGGCTGAGGCGGGGGCCAGCGCCACACTGAGCTGTGAGGTGGCCCAGGCCCAGACAGAGGTGACGTGGTTCAAGGACGGGAAGAAGCTGAGTGCGAGCAAGAAAGTGCACGTGGAGGCCAAGGGCTGCACCCGGCGGCTGGTGGTGCAGCAGGCGGGGAAGGCGGACGCAGGGGAGTACAGCTGCGAGGCCGGGGGCCAGAAGGTCTCCTTCTGCCTGGGTGTCACAGGTCAGTTCTTGGGGATGGGGGCATGAACTCACCTTGCTTGGAGGTGATGAAGGACTGGCTTACAGCCCAGATCACCCTGATGCTCTTTCCACTGGACCTCATCTCTTCTACCCTTCCATCCTCCCAGTTCTCATGTCATACCCATGGCTGGACCAAGGGAGGCGGGACGGGAAGGGTGTGAACAGAAGGGAGGGTGGTATTTCCACAAGTAATACATAGTCATAAATTCCCAGCATCTGCTGGGAAACTTCCAGGTGCTCCCTGGTGTCTGAAACTCTGCCTCTGCTTTGCACTTGGAGTCTGATGTAGACCAGGCGTCTCTCACCGGTGGGTATATGAACTTCCTCATCTTGGGAGTCCTGGCAGCTCCCAGGTGCCCTTACCCAGCAACACATGCGGCTTCACACTAGGCAAGGAGGTTTGCATTTCATTAAACCAAGATAAGGGGAAATTTCTGCTGCTGAATTGTACTTGGATTTATCTCGAGTGAACTCTGGGTTATCAAAGTTTTAGGTGTTGCAGACACTCTTCCCTCCTTGGATAAACAAGTTATCTGTGCACCTACATATAACAAAACCTACGTCCATGTTTTCTTGTAGTGTCTGTGCGAAGTAAACAAAAACCAGAGGATTGATGGATGTGCATCTGAGACATGCATGCATGAGGTGTGGAGTCTCCTTGTAAAGGGAATCTTGTTTCTCTCCTGTTAGAACATTCTGTGTCAGGGGGCCAGCCCTGTGGCCGAGTGGTTGAGTTTGTGTTCTCCACTTCGGCGGCTTGGGGTTTCCCTGGTTCGGATCCTGGGCGCAGACCTCGCACCACTCATCAAACGATGCTGAGGTGGCATCCCACGTAGAAGAGCCAGAAGGACCTACAACTGGAATATACAACTGTACTGCGTCCTGGGGGGCTTTGGGAAAAAGAAGAAGAAGAAGAAGAAAAAAGACTGGCAACAGATGTTAGCTCAAGGCCAATCTTGAAAAAGAAAAAAAGGAACATTCTGTGTCAGAATTCCCCTTGGAGTGTGATTTACAGATTTAGCAATGAGAAGAATAAGTGGCTCATCTCACAGCGGCAGGCGTTGTTAGAGACGAGTTCCTAAAGAAGCAGCCTGACCGGCGAGGCAGTGCTGGTTTCCCGCATTTCCTGATGATGGGAGTGTGTCTGTGCCTCCCTGGCTGGTTCACAGAGACGTCTGAGGACTAAATTTATTTTCCTTTTGTTAAGAAACTTCACACCAAATAAAGATGGGCATCAGTCCCGTGTTGACTTCTAGTCAACACATAACGGTGTGGAACTGTGTCTGTGTGTAGTGGTTTGTGGGTGTGTTTAGACACCAAAAAACCCACTGTGTATCTTTTTTCAATGTTAATTTAGGAGAATATGACAAATTGTTTTATGGTAATAAATACGAAAAGGTTTGATAAGTTGACCAAATTCTTAGAAAAATATGTAAAAAGTGGCATAAGAAGAATTAGACAACCCCAACAGTCTATAACCTTTAAAATAAATGGAACCTCAGTAAGTAATCTCGTAGAGAAAGATCTAAGCCTAGTGGCTTGTCTGGTAATTATACAAAATATTATGGAAATAAATTATTATGTGTTCTTGGAGATTCTTCTAGAGAATAGAAAAACCAGATACAGTCTCTGATTTGTTTTACGTAGACATCATGACTTCAGTAACCAAAGTCTGACAAGGAAAGTAGGAATTACAATTACAGGCCAATCTACGATGGACATCAGGCCAAAAACTTAAACAAAATATTATCAAAATCAATTTTGTAATAAATGAAGCGGATAATTCACTCTGATGGAAGTTGTTGAAATCTTAGAAACATTAGTAAATCAATATAATGCACGACATTAACAGATTGAAACAAAAAATGAAGTGATTACCTCAACAGATGCAGAATGAAGCATTTGATACAATTTAACATCAAATCCAAAAGAAATGTTTGGTAAAGTTATCACTAATTCATGTCAGAAAATTCTTAACGAATTATAAATAAGACGATTCTTCCTTAATTTGATAAATCGTACTGCAGAAAAACCAGCTAATCACGGAAAGAGAAATCTTGAAAGCTTGGCCTTTGCAATAGGGAACCAGAGGAGGCGGCTGTCGGCACCCCTTGCCACAGGGCACAGCACAGTGAGGAGGAAAATAAAGAAAAACAGATAAAGGTGTGAAAAAACAAAAGTGGAATTCACAGATGATGTGATTTATACAAAATATAAATTATTAGACTTAGAACGATAGTTGAAAAAATCACTCAGTAAAAAAATCAGTATGCAGAAAACACTTCTCTGTCTATATACTTGCAACAAACACTTGGAAAATGAAAATTTAAAAGAGGTAAACAGCATCAGAAGAGACTTTTTCTAATTCTGAGTCGAATAAAAGGTGCTTAGAGGCTTGGTGGGGGATTACTGAACATTTTTGAGAGACAGACAAGAAGATCTAAGTAGATGGATGGAAATGCATGGAAGAATCTAAGATGTTGAATAACAATCGGAATGTGAGCAACGTTCGTTTGGTGGGATGGAGTGGGGTTGAAAATTGACGAGCAGATCGCAGAGGCCTTGTGTAGCCACCATACTGGAGAAGAGAGCAAAGTGTGAGCGTTTGCTGGCCTGGTGCCAGGACTGCCCTAAACACAGTGGTGAAGACCGCGGTGTCTCGACTCGCAAGTTGATACCCCGCTGGAGGACCAGGCAGCGACCTCACAGCCCTGTGCAGGAGTGGCCCCACACTCCTCTCCTCCTCTCTTTCACTGTGGAAGCGTGCAAGGCCTGGAAACAGCATGGTTTTAATAAATGCTGCACGACCATTTAACCACATAGAAAAAAGATCGACCAGCTCCTTTGGGTACCGACTTCAGAGAAGAAGGGCACACCGTGAAACTCTGAGATGATAACACAGAAGCGTTTAGCCACCTCAGGGGAAGGAATGGTTTCTCAAACAGAACGTAAGTGCAGTAACCACAGGGAAACAGGTCCGACAGATTTGAGTCCATTAAAGCGGAAACTTTGATTCATCGGAAGATAGTGTCAGGGAGAGAAAGACAAGCCACCAGCAAAGGAAGATATTTTGAACAGAGCTAACTGTGAATGCTCCAGCATTTAAAGATCTAAAAGACCCTAAACATGAATGGATGAATGACAGACAGGGCTACTGAAAGTCGGGCAAAAGCTTTGAGTAGTGACGCCAAAGAAGAATGAACACCAATGACCAAAACGTCAGAAAAGGTGCTCCCCTTTGTGTGTCATCGGGACCCGAAGGGGCAGCGCTGGGATGTCCAGCTTCACCCCCACCAGGCTGCCATCAGCTGAGACACTGAGGGAGGTGAGAGGGTGGAGCTGCAGGACCTTACCCCCACTGCGGTGAGAACGCTTGCTGCACAGCCGCGTGGAGAAGACCCTGCGTCCCCTAGGAGGTTGGGCTGTGCCTGCCTCACTACCCCAGATCACACCAGTACAGAGGTCTTTCACAGCCTCCCCACCTGGAACAGCCTCATGGAGCCATGCTGGGATGCGCAGATAAATTGTCGTTTGTTGCTGAGAGGGCAGTGGGGCTTCCCCAGGCCACTCAGCTGGTGCAGAGCCTGGAGAAGTTTCTAGCCCTCTGCCTCCCCCATCCAGGCCTTCTTTCCCCAGTGCTGCCTTCCTGACTTAGGTGGTGTCTCTGACCCCGTGTCCCTCTCTGTCCCCAGAGCCCACGTTGGTGTTTGCCAAGGAGCAGCTGGCCCTCAAGGAGGTGCAGGCTGAGGCGGGGGCCAGCGCCACACTGAGCTGTGAGGTGGCCCAGGCCCAGACGGAGGTGACGTGGTTCAAGGACGGGAAGAAGCTGAGTGCGAGCAAGAAAGTGCACGTGGAGGCCAAGGGCTGCACCCGGCGGCTGGTGGTGCAGGAGGCGGGGAAGGCGGACGCCGGGGAGTACAGCTGTGAGGCCGGGGGCCAGAAGGTCTCCTTCCGCCTGGGCGTCACAGGTCAGTTCTTGAGGAAGGGGGGTGAACTCGCCTTGTGTGGAGGTGATGAAGGACTGGCTTACAGCCCGGACCACTGTGGTCCTCTGTCCATTAAACCTCATCTCTTCACGTATCCCAGTCCCCCTCCCATTTTCACACTCATGGCTGAGCCCAGGGATCTTGGACTGCAGGGGTGTGTACAGCAGGGAGAGGCCCTTCTTCTCCATCTTAATGGTGTTTCCACGTTGCAATTCCACATCTCTCACTGTTCCCAGAACCTCCTCAGGACCCACCGTTGGTCCTTGGTGTCCAGGACTCTGGCTGTGTCTGGTGCATTGGGCTGAGGTAGAGCAGATGTCCCTCACCTGAGGACGTTCTCCTGGTTCCCATTTGCCTTCACCTGCCCCAGATGAGGGTTCTCACTATCAAGAGATGTTTGCATTTCATTCAGCCAGGATAATAGCAAATTTCAGGCACCAGTCATACTGGGATTTATCTCAAGACTGAACTTGGGTTCCCAAAGTTTTGGGGGTTCCAGTGCACTCTCCCTCCTTGCACATGGCTGGAGAAGCTCTTTCTGCACCATATATGGCAGAACACAGACAGATGTTTCACTGCAGTGTCTGTGCAAAACCAGTGGAGAGCAGAGAATCGGGAGCTGGGCATCCGTGATGCACACGTATGAGACTGGAGTTTCGTTTCAGAGCAAATCTTGTTTTCCTTTGTCTTCAGTTAGAATATCCCAAGTCAGAATTTCTCTTGGGGTTTGATGTGTAAACTTAGAAGTGGGGAGAAATAGGCAGCTGTGGCACATGGGCACTCTGTTTCTGAGGCCTTCCTGAGGTGGCAGGCCCCGCCTGGTAGAGCCGTGTTGATTTCATAGTGTTTCCTAATGGTGAGGGTGGGTTTGTGCCCTCCTGGCTGGTTCACAGAGAAGTCTGTGAACTTGCTGTTTTCCCCTTTCTTAGGAGGGTTTAACTCACATGAGGGTCGGCTGAGGTCTCACATGGACTCCTGGTTGCCACCCGTAACTGTTTGTTGTTGTGTCAGTGTGCAATGTTGTAGGTGTGCATGGATACCAAGAATCCTGCTGTGTATGTTTGACATGCTGTTGAGGAGAATCTGACAGTATTCTGTGCAAGAAAATAGGAAAAGTTTGAGACATTGTCCTATTTCTAGAAAACTAAATAAAAACTGACCTAAGAAGAAACAGACAGCTCAAACAGTCCTGTTGGAGAAATAGAACCAGTGGGAAAAAAATCTTCTCATAGAACAAATTCTAAGCCCCACACTTTACCGGTAGAGTCTTCCGGTAACTTAGAAATTAATTATCCCTTGTCCATGGAGAATCTTCTAGAGAATAGAAAAAGGAGATCAACTTTTTAACTCATTTTATGTGGTAGCATAATTTTGATATTGAAATATGACAGGCCAGTAGGACGAATTCATATTATAAGTAAATCCATTATGGATTTCAAGGCCAATATGGTAAAAAAAACAATTAGCAAACTGAATTCAGCAGTATATGGAAAGAATCCTACAGCCTAATAAAATTCAGAATGCACCAGGAATCAAGGCTGGTTCAACATTAGAAACATTAGCAAATCAACGTAAAGCTTGACATTAACAGATGGAAGAAAATCAAGGTGATTACCTCAATACATGCAGAATCAAGTCTTTGATAACAATTTTACATCATAAATCCAGAAGAAATGTCAGATAAAATCTAGCATCAATTCATGCTATAAAATCCTAACAAAGTATAAGTAAAATGATTCCCCTGAATTTTATAAATGGATTGCAGAAAAGTCGTGCTCACTTCACAAAGTGAAACCGTGAAGCATTTGCCTTTGAGCTGGGGAACAGGACAGGAAAGCCATGTCACCACTTCCATCCCACACTGCACAGCACAAATAAAGGGGAGGAAAATAAAATGAAAGTTTGAAAAAACAGAAGTAGAATTCACAGCAGATGTGATTTATCCAAAAGAGAAATTGGTAGATTTAGTGAGAGTGTTGAGAGACATTACCACATTCAAAATCAATATAGAGAAATATATATATAGTGTGTATATATATATATATATATATATATATATATATATATATATATACTATCTGTATACTAGCAAAAAACAGTTAGAAAATGAAAATTTAAAAGATTTGGAATAACATCAGACGTATCGTGGTTTTCTTCCAAGTCTAATAAGAGATGTTTAGACACTGTGTGGGAGGGGATGGTTAGATGTTTTCAAAAGACGCTAAAGAAGAGTGAAATAAATGGATAGAAATCCATGGGGGAAACTAAGATGTTCACTAACAAGCCAGTCCACACAAGTGCTTATTTGGCGGGATGGGGTGGGGTGGGGTTGATAATTGACTAGTAGACTGCAAAGGCCGTGTGCAGATGGACAGTGTGCCCTTGAAGAGAGCCAGTGTGGGCATTGGGGTTGCAGATCTCCAGACTTACAGCTCCAGTGACGAAGACGGCAGGGCTCGATGCAGGGAGAGTTGTCAGATAAGGGGACGGGACGGGCCCAGAGGCAGACTCCTGGGTGAATGATCCTGCTGCTGGTTCCCTGCCCTCCTTTGTTTCTACTGTGGCTCCTGTGCAAGGTGTGAAGAAAGGATGGTCTTTTCATAAACGGTACTTTGAACATTTAACCATATGTTTTAGATGGTGTCTCTGACCCCGTATCCCTCTGTGTCCCCAGAGCCCTCGGTGGTGTTTGCCAAGGAGCAGCCGGCCCACAGGGATGTGCAGGCTGAGGCGGGGACCAGTGCCACTCTGAGCTGCGAGGTGGCCCAGGCCCAGACAGAGGTGACGTGGTTCAAGGACGGGAAGAAGCTGAGTGTGAGCTCGAAAGTGCACGTGGAGGCCAAGGGCTGCACCCGGCGGCTGGTGGTGCAGCAGGCGGGGAAGGCGGATGCTGGGGAGTACAGCTGTGAGGCCGGGGGCCAGAAGGTCTCCTTCCGCCTGGATGTCACAGGTCAGTTCTTGGAGGTACTTGGTTAGCCTACTTGGAGGTGATGATGGGCCTTGCTCACAGCCTAGACGATCCTGGTGTTCTTTGCATTAGACGTGTTCTCTTAATGTCTCCCATCCTTTCATCTTCCATCATACCCATTTTGGGCTGAGAGATGCTGGGCTGGAAGGGTACATGGAAAGGAGAGGGCCGTTCCTGCAAACCTGGAGGGGCAGCTCCATGCAGTAATGCTCTATCACCTGCCTGGAACCTTCCTGTCGGTCCTGGTGTCCCAGGCTCTGGCTCTACCTGGAGCTTGGGTCCGAGGTAGACCAGTTGTCTCTCACCTGGGATGTGTAACTTCCTCGCATTGTTTGTTCTGACGACTCCACGTGCCCTCACTAGCACCTCATGCCAGCTCTTATCAGCAGGAGATATTCCAGTTTCACTGACCCTGGGTTAGTGGAATTTTGGCTACACCATCATACTTGAATCTATGTCAAGAGTGAACATTGGATTATCAAATCTGAGGTGTCTTCCTTCTGTTCCTCTGTGTAACGAGATGTAGATACATGTTTTGTTGTAATGTCCGTGCAAATGGAGGAGAGAGGTGATATGTAGGGTCATTCTGTCAAAGTGAATATCATTTTGCCCTTGTCTTCAATTTGGATGTTCAGTGTCAGAATTCCCCTTGGAGTTACGTTTGTGAAGTTAGGAATGGAAAGGAAGTCACTTCTGCCACATCAGCGTGCTTTGCTGTGAGGAGCAGCCTCTGACTGGTAGAGAGAGCAGTATTGATTTCATAGCGTTTTCTAATGGTGAGTGCGTACTTTGCCTCCTTACCTGGTACATAGAGAAATCTAAGAAATTAAATTATTTTCCTCTTGTTAAGAGAGTCTTGATGCCAAATAGGGGTGGCTGCCATCCCACATTGACTTCTAGGTGCCAACACATAACAGTTGGGTATCACATCAGTATATAATGGTTTGTGGTGGGTCTAGATACCAAAAATCCACCTATATGTCTTTGTGAAATGTTAGTTTAAGAGAGTATGACAAAATATTTTATGGTAATAAATTCAAAAAGTTGTGACAGTTTGTCTAATTCCTCATAAACTATATGAAAATCAACACAAGAAGATATAGGAAGCTTGAATAGTCCTATGACTTTTAAATAAATGGGACCAATAATAAAAAATCTTCTAAGCCCAGTAGTTCTCTGGTAAACTCTAATAAACATTCTAGGGCACAGTTTTTTCATGCTTGTGGAGATTGTTGTGGAGAACAGAAAAAGGAGATACGCTCTGCACGTCGTTTAATGTAGATAATGTGACATCGACATCAAAATCTGACAAGAGAAGTAGGAAGAATTAAATTACAGACCAATCTGTGATGGATATCAAGGACAAAATCATAAGTAAAATTAGCAAAATGAATTCAACAATATATCAAGAGGACATACACTATGAGGAAAGTCCTTGCCCAGGATTGCAAGTTTGGTTTAACATTAGGAACATTAGATCAATATAAAACTTGACATTAACAGATTGAGTGAAAACTCATGTGATTTCTCAACTAATACAGAATAAGATTATTTGATTACAATTTAACGTCATAAATTCAGAAAAATTGTTTGATAAAAATTAACATCAATTCATGCTGTAAAATTCTTAACAAACAATAGAAAAGTGTTCTTCCTTAATTTGAAAATGGTGCTGCAAAAACATGAATCATGTCATGCTTAAAGTGAACCTTGAAAGCTTTGACGTCAGGGACAAGACACGGGGAAGCTGCCCTCACCACTTCTGTCCAACACTGTATTGTAGAGTAAGGAGGAAACTAAAATAAAAGGCATAAAATTTGGAAAAAATAAAAGTGGAGTTCACTAATGATGTGAACATCAATTCAGAAAATCTGAAAGATAAATTATTATGGTATGATTGTTGAGAAAGATTACAGTAAGAAAAGAAAAGGGAACACTTCTCTGTCTGTACACTTGAAACAAATACTTGGAAAACAATGTTTTTGGTGAGGAAGGTTGGCCCTGAGCTAACATCTGTTGCCAGTCTTTTTCTATTTCGTACGTGGGATGCTGCCTCAGCAGGGCTTGAATGGTGCATAGATCCATGCCCAGGATCCGAACCTGCGAACCCTGGGCCGTCGAAGGAGAGTGAGTGAACTTAACCACTACGCCACCGGGCTGGACCCTGGAAAATGATATTTTAAAAGAGTTGCAATGGCATTAGAAGAATCATTTTCTACCTGCAAGTCTAATAAAAGATGCTTAGAGGCTCAGTGGGGGACTATCGAACATTTCTGAGAGATAGTCAAGAGATCTAAATAGATGGATAGAAATCCATGGAAGAATCTAAGACATTCACTAACAATCAAAATCAGAACAAATGTTTTTTAGGAGGATTGAAAAATAACAAGCAGATTCCAAAGGCCAAGTTCAGTTAATACACTTTTCTCTTGAATAAAAGCAAAGCGTGAGTTTTTGCTGTAGCAGATGTCAGGAATTATCATAAAGCTGCAGTAATTAAGACAGAGGATCTCGATGTAGGGACAGTCATCAGATTAGAGGAACAGAATAATGAGCTCAGAGACAGATCCTTGCATAAATGGGCTCCCGCCACTCCCCTTTTTACTGCAGTGTCTGTGCAGAAAGTAGAGAAAGGATAGTGTTTTCATAAATAGTGCTTAGACCATTTAACCATATGGAAAAATTAAATTATACTGGTAATTCACACCATACACAAAGTCAACTCCTGGTGTGTTAGAGGCCTCCATGTAGAGGTAAAACCATGAGACCCTCAGATGATGGCATGGATTGTTTAAAGACCTAGGGTGAGAATAGATTTCTTAAAAGGCACGCAAATGCCCTAACCACAATGGAGCAAGCTAGACAGATTTTTCTGTATTAAAACTAAACACTTTGATTCACCAGAAGATACCAGAGGAGAGTGAATATAAGTCCCACAGGTGGGAAATATGTCACAGAATACATGGTTGTCATTGACTAACATTTAAACATATAAAGAGCACCTTAAAATGAGAAGAGAAAAAGAAAGACAGTACTGTTGATAATGGGACAAAAAGATCTGAATAGTGTCACCACAGAAGAGCAAACAGTAATGGCCAACCCAGGAGCTGGAAGAGGCGTTCAGCTTCATTAATCATCAGATAACAGGAAAGAAAGTCAGAGGAAGGAAGAGGTGCACCCATCAGGTGCCACAGGCGACAGCACCAAGAGCTTGCAGCCTCAAGTCTCATGAACGGCAAGTGGGAATGCTCGCTGCACAGTTCTGTGGAAAAGACTCCCCGAGACTCCTCGTCCCCAGGAAGTTGAGGACCGCATGTTCCTTCCCAGCAGACTGTGTGCACAGGAGTCTTTCACAGTGTCCTCACCTGGAACAGCCCATATGGATGTGCAGATAAATTGTTAGAACATACACATGAATTGTGTTGCTTGTTGCTGAGAGGGCGGTGGGGCTCCTCCAGGCCACTCAGCTGGTGCAGAGCCTGGAGAAGTTTCCAGCCCTCTGCCTCCCCCATCCAGGCCTTCTTTCCCCAGTGCTGCCTTCCTGACTTAGGTGGTGTCGCTGACCCCGTGTCCCTCTCTGTCCCCAGAGCCCACGGTGGTGTTTGCCAAGGAGCAGCCGGCCCACAGGGAGGTCCAGGCCGAGGCGGGGGCCAGTGCCACTCTGAGCTGCGAGGTGGCCCAGGCCCAGACGGAGGTGACATGGTTCAAGGACGGGAAGAAGCTGAGCGCGAGCAAGAAAATGCACGTGGAGGCCAAGGGCTGCACCCGGCGGCTGGTGGTGCAGCAGGCAGGGAAGGCGGATGCTGGGGAGTACAGCTGTGAGGCCAGGGGCCAGAAGGTCTCCTTCCGCCTAGGCGTCACAGGTCAGTTCTCAGAGGTACTAAGTTAACCTATCTGGAGTTGATGGTGGGCCTGACATACAGCCCAGATGACCCTGGTGTTCTTTCCATTAGACTTCATCTCTTGATGTCTCCCATCCTCCCCCCTCCCATTTTCACAACCAAGATTGGGCCAAGGGAACATGGACGGAGGGCGTGTACGAAGGGAGAGGCTGTTGTGTACCAAGCATTGCGTTTCCATGTCGTGGTGCTTAGTCACATTTTCCCAGCACCTGCTCAGAACCCTCTGGTGGTCTTCGTGTCCAGGAGTCTGGCTCTACCTGATGCATGGGACTGAGGCAGACCAGATGTCTCTCTCCTGGGTTGTTCTGGCAGATCACACCTACCCTCACCCAGCACACATGAGGGGTCCTGCTAGCCAGAGATGCTTGAAGGCATTCAACCAGGACAAAGGGGAATTCCAACCACATAATCAAACCTCAGATTAGCTCAAGACTGAGCTTTGGGTTATCAAAGTTTTAGTGTTCTTGGACACTCTTCCTTGTTTTCACGTGCATGGAGAAGTTCTGTCTGCACCCATGTGTAACAAAATCTAGATCCACATTTTGTTTCAATGTCTGTGCAAAATACACAAAGAGCAGAGGATTACAAGTTGATCGATTCCTAGAAAACTATATCAAAACTCACACAAGAAAAAATAGACAAGTTGAACAGTCCTTTAATCTTTTAAATAAACAGAACCATAATAAATAGTCTCTTCACAGCATAATATCTAAGCCCAGTGCTTCTACTGTTAAATTGTACCAAATATTCTGGAAATAAGTTATTCTGCATTTGTCGAGATTCTTCTAGAATATTGAAAAGAGAGATATACCCTTTACTCACTTTATGTAGGTAACATATCAGTACCAAAATCTCACAAAGTAAATATGAAGAATTAACACAGGTCAGCGTCTTGTTGATATCAAGGCTAATATCTTGAACAAAATACTAGCAACCTGAATTCAGCAATTTATTAAGATGATGCTACACCATGACAAAAGTCATATTCCAGGACCGCAAAGCTGGTTTAACATGAGAAATATTAGAAAATCAGTACAAAACTTGACACTAACAAACTGAAAGAAAAAATTATGTGGCTTCCTCCCAAAATGGAGAATAAAAGCATTTGATAAAATATGACATCATAAATCCAGAAGAAATATTTTATAAAATTTAGCATCAACTCCTTCCATAAAATTCTTAACAAAATGTAAATAAAAGGGTTCTTTCTTAATTTAATAATATTTTAATTTAATAATATTTCTTAATTTGATAGTGTAATAATTTAATAATATTTCTTAATTTGATAGTATAGAGAAAATTAGCTGAATCACACTTAAAGTGAAACTTTGAAAGCATTGCCTTTGAGACGGGGAACCAGCCAAGGGAGCGGCTGTCGCCACTGCAGTGCAACCTTGACAGCACAGTTAGGAGGGAAATAAAACAAGTGCAACACTTGGAAATGTCAAAAATAGAACTCACAGATGATATGATTTCCAATTTAGAAAACCCGGAAACAGTAATGATTCAACTTAGTAAGAGAGTTGGGAAGGATTACTGCATACAAAAGTCAACATTCAGAAAGCACTTAAACGTCTACATACCAGAAACAAGAAGCTGAGAAATCACGTTAAAAGAGTTGCAGGAACATCGGAAGGATGATGTTACCAATTCCAAGTCTAATAAAATAGATTAGAAGCTTCACAGGCAAAAACTATTAAGCATTATTGAGAGACAGAAAAAAGACTTAAATCAATGGATAGAAGTCAGTGGAAGACCCAGAGGTGTTCAGTCCCTGTCAAAACTCAAATAATAGTTGTTTTGGGTGTGAGAATGTTGACAGGTTGATTGCAGAGGCCAGCAGAGCCCAGCCAACAGGCGGAACATGTGGGGACATCTGCTCTATCCGGCGTCAGACAGTGGGTCTCAGTGCAGACAGACAGCAGCCCAAAGGAGCGGAGGTGGGCTCCAAGTCGGCTCTGTGTGAGACCTGACTGCCTCCCTTCCTGTTACCCTGGAGCTGGCATGAGCTGTGGAGAAAGGAGCATCTTCTCATAAATGGTCCTAAGACCATTAGCCATATGGAAAAATAAAGTGAAATTTGACAGCTACCTCACACCACACAAAAATCACCTCCAGGAGGCCAGCCCCATGGTGGATTGGTGGAGTGCAGTGCACTCCGCTTCAGCAGCCGGGGTTTGCAGGTCCAGATCCCAAGCACGGGCCTCCACCACTTGTCATCCATGCTGTGGCAGTGACCCACATATAAAGTAGAGGATTATTGGCACAGATGTTAGCTCAGGGAAAATCTTCCTCAGGAAAAAAAACTCCAAGGGAGTTGGAGACTTCAGCGTGAGGGGTAAAACAAACTTTTATCAGACAATGTGGATTATTCAATGACCTCAGGGTAATGAAAGATTTCTTACACAGAACACTAATATGCAAACCACAAAGGACAAAGTGATATATTTGCCTATAGCAAAACTAATAACTTTATTTCACCAGAAAACCTTTCCTCATGAAGGAGTGAAAGGCAGGGCACAAATGGGGAGGATAATGACAGACACACCCGTCAGCACCCAGCTTTAATGACTTAAAGAGCT